TTCATTTGCTCGCTTCAACAACTGGTGGAGAACGAGTTTGGCACCGCGCCAAACGCAGCCGCACTGACACGCCCAACCGTCCGCAGCGAACTACACTATATGGCCAACGCACTCGGAAGCAGTGTGAGTGCTGACGGCAGCCCATTCGGAATACATCCGCCGTGCATCACCGCACGATACGCCGCGCGCGACGCCGCGAGAAATGACCATTGTTTTGTCCGTCTCGCCCGCAAGCCCGTCTCACCCCATGTCGAGGCAAGGGGATGAAGAAACATGATATCTCAAATGGCTTACGAATGGCTGCGTGACTGTGACTCTTACATTGGGGCTAATCAAAGGTGGCGATTTCAACCTCTTAGTCGGGACAAATAAGCAATTATGTGGGTCCGTATCAGTTATGACTCAATAATCTATTTTAGGTGGAAAAGGTTGCGTCAGTTTCAACGGCTTCGAACGATTGGATATGGCTGGACGATGTGGCTAACGACGACTCACTTCAGCACGTCATTGAGTACAGCCATTCTCATGATGCTATGTACGAATTCCACTATATGGATGAGAATCACCAGGTAAGATATGTTTCCACTTCAATTTTCGAGCTTCCGAGGGAGATGGGGAATGCGGCGATGTGTTCCATTCCTTGCTCCAGGCTTAAGCATTGTGTAGGGAAGATGACCAAAATCCGCGTCTTTCTGAGCGGTATGGAGAGGACAGCGTTGCGCCGATAATTGGCCCCATCAAAGTGCAATAGCACCCACTCTTTTTTTAACATGACAATATTTTAATTTCTTTCTGATTTAGTTACGCTCGTTTGAACTGTTCAACGTGGCTAATCCACGTAGACACGACTGCCATTCACATATTAGCGGTAACGTGTCACGACCTACAACGGTGAGTCATAACTTTCTACTGAATATAGTCCCGTTAAAAATTGCTTTTTGTAGGCGGTAGCAGAAGAAGTGGAACAAGTAGAAAAACCTGCTGAATGTTCAAATAACTCAGAAGAGGCCGATTCTGGACTGTCAGGCGTTGAAGGCAATACTGACTCTGGGTAGGTGGGTTGAAATGTTGCAGCTTCAAGTGGGTAAAATTTAGCGCCTTTCTAGGCGTTTTAGGTATCGTTCAGACTTCGCGATGACTCGCGTGGACTCGCTACGTTACAGCAGCGCTTCACTACTATACACGCGGACGCAGCCACAGATGGTTATCGATGCAGGCAGCTTTTGAGAGAGTGTAGGGTAACAGGATGGTAGGTGCTGCCTCTGCACAGTCTGATGCCATCCTGTTCCTCATACTCTCAAAACACAATCGGCGCCGATCGATTGCAGTCTGCGACGCGTTTGCGTCTATAGTGTTATAACCCCGTTGCAAATATAGCGCATCGGCGCGTTATCGCGTACTCCGAGCGCTGCTTCATACTTTTGCTGTTGTCTGTTATTAGCGATTTCAGTAAATTTTTCCATTCACTGGGTGAATAAGCCAGATTTAGGCATCGAGATGCGTGCTGTTCTCCTGTGCGTCATTTTCCGTCAACGTCGACTCGAGTGACGTCTCGTGGTAAAAGTCAAGCTAGGCGGCACGCTGGATCGGGCGGTACGCCTACATCGAGGTAAGATAGCTTTGAAGGTACCGTTCAGGACTTCTTATTATTGGCTGTGGCCAGGAAACGGTGTCCCTCCTTTGGATGGCCCCGTCTTTTCCCTATTGGTGGCCATTGATGGGAGAGAGAGAGAGAGAGAGAGAGAGACAGAGACAGACAGACAGACAGACAGACAGACAGAGAGAGCAACGATGACATTGTTTAACAGCTTTCAGGCTTCGTGATGACGCGATACAGTGGTAACATTTCTTGTGTATTGAGAGCCTGTAGGATAAAAGAAGGACAGGCATTGATTCATCACGCAGACTGGGCAACGCTTACCCTCGTGGTATCGATCGGTTTTGGCGCTGAAGCTTTGGGAGGGTATAGAAAAATGGGACAGTAGCAAACTGTACGAAGGCAGCGCAGCCTTCTGACATGTTATACTCTCTCAAACACAAGCTGCCATAACCGATCGACTCTCGTGTGCGGCCGCGTTCGCATCTTTAGGATTGGAGCGCTGTTGCATTGTAGCGCGTTGACTTGCGTCATCGCGAAGTCTGAACTTGCCTTCACTGGTTCCGCCCACTCAACGAGCGTGAACAGTGTTTTTAATAGGAGATTAGAAGCAAGTCATTGTTCAATCAGGGTTAGTGGTGTAACAGCATGACACTTGACGTATTTACTTTGTTTCAGCCGAAAGCAGTACTCTGCATCCCGCAGTGGAAGTGGCGTCACCGGATCTGCATGTAATATCAGTGTTGATGTGAGGTCGACGTCATCGGATTCAGAAGGCGATGGCGCTGATAAGCTTTTCGTGCCAGCACGACGCCAACGAACCACAAGTAAAGAATATGATGGCGAACCAGAACCCAGTGATACTGATGTTGCAGTTTAGGGAACACTCGGGATTCCTTATAATTGAAGTGGGAGTCCATCGGAGCCAAAATGTATCTTGACTTCGCAATTAGGGAATTTTTCGTCGTTGGCTGTGTACAACGGAATTTTGGCGGTGATTTTCACTACTGAGTGAAGCGCTTCCTATGTGGATTTCAAGAACACTGCAGGTTTTCGGTCCACTGCAAAAGAGCTGTGTCTATACTCAGCGAACTAACCGCGTCACAGCTGCGGTCGATGATCGATACCTATTATTTACATAGGCAGCTGAGTGGGAGTTCGCTAACTAGGCGTGGCCTACGAGGCTCCGTATTATGTTGTGTCCTGAGTCACGTTAGTATTACTAAAAATAGTTTTAACTGATACGAATCTGTTATTTTGCAATTTGGCCACACCTTCCTTGACATGGTAAATAAGTTAGGGTTGTACAGTTTATTATTAACTATTCATTAATAATTTCTTGTGAATATTTTTTTCCTGTTGTTATACTAAAACAAAAAAAAAAAAAAAAAAAAAAAAAAAAAAAAAAAAAAATACTAACTTGCATAGATTGTAGTAAGGTTATTTCAGAAGTTGTCTATTTACTAGTTGTTTACTGCTTCTAACGCAGTGATATTTCTTGGTATCTGTAGGTTTTAATGAGCGCTGTGTTACTACGACTGATAATACTAGAGAAGTAGTGTTTCAAAAAGAGTTTCATGTTGACGGGTTGTCGTTGTCGAGAGATGTGTTGGTTATCGGATTTCTTTTTGCTATACACCGGTGGGCCGTGCCGTACTTCACTCATTAATTATGTCTGCTACTCACACAATATTGTAAATAAACACATTAATATTGTTTGTTGTGAAGCAATGGCTAAAGCGGCCAGTTGGTTGAGTCAGAGATCGAGCAATCTTAGTTGTTCTATATTGTTACTATTTCTGACAAGAAGTAAAAAAGGGTGCTTTTGGTCTGGAGGGGGCTAAGCACTTTTGCTGGTTCGTCTTGTCAGCTCAGGTTCTAAAACAGATCTTTATTTGGTGAGACTCATGATTTCTGTAAAACTGCGAAATGGTGCAAGTGAGTCACTAAGGTAACAGGAATATACAGGTCTCCACAAGGTGGCCCGGAGAAGTTAGCTGAGTACCATTACGTGCCCTCATCAAGCCGAACTGCGCCAAGGAAAGCTTTCGGCGTCAATCAATCTCTCTTTGGTGTGCGCCACGGGGTTTAGTTCCACTTACGATCGTGGTGCTATGTTGGATACGTATGGTCCATACAATGTATGCGGGTGCGGGAGCAATTAAATCTTCGAGTGAGTGTCTTAATTCTCCCAGAGAAGTTTAGCACCATTTTCGGAGGACAGAAGGCATGGTTGAACTCTGCAGCAGCTGATCCGCAATCTGAGTCTGACCTTCTGTGGCGTGGTCCGTTCTTTCGACATAACACAGCTCAGCTGGCAGTGCTGCGTGGCAGCTGTTTTATCTTGGCGCTATCTTGGCGTCTGCAACGAGTTCCGTGACGAGGTGCCGCGCCTGAAAAGGCAAGGCCTATTCATGTCTTGGCACTTCCAAAGTAGAGTGATGAGATGGGAGTCAGGCTTGCTGAATTGTGTTCGCTATGACGGGATGATGGAGTACTTGTATGCTCAAAGATCTGCTTAACATCGGCATTCCATGGTTCATGATCGTAACCAAATTCACCATGACAAGCTTAGCCATCTTTCGCAGCGGCTACGAGCCTTTTCAAGTCGCCTACGACTATGAACTACTCTTTTGGTAGTAACTCAGCCGTACTGTCGTTGCTCGGAGTATCCAGTTTGCGAGGCCTGTGCAAAGAAGAAGTGGTATAGTTGTTGTTCAACAACTGTAATGACCATCATAAAACGGTCGTCGAAACGAACTACATTCGTAATGGAGTCACGGAACCGCTGAGAGCGATTACAGCTAAACCATTTATGGTTCTCGGCCGACCCTAAAGAACGGTCATGAAGCTGCCGCTGGCCGAGTCTACTTGGGCCACCTTGTCTCTTGCACTGTACAGATCCTTATACGCTCTAGTGCTTTTAACAACACATACGACCATCAGAGCCTTGCGAGGGTAGGTCAGCTCCCGTTTTAGCTTTTAGGGTATAGCATCACGTCGCGGAAAGTTTCCCGGTCGGTATGACCCTCTCCCTCCTAGATAAAGTGTCCCAACGTTCCCCTCCCCCCGTTTTCCTTCGGGCTGCCGATGTATCTGCCCAAACTATGCGGTTGCGCCGCGTACTCTTAGAATGGAGTGCTCCCGGACTTCCACTAAACTTCAGTCCTTTTTGAAAAGTGCACAAAATCATCCGTAAACCATATTTTGCCAAGCGGTAAGGAAATACAGGGAGGCCATTATTGAGCTTGCATGGCGGCTTTACATCAGAAATAACGCGGGAATTTTTGGCAAACCAAGTCATTCACTTTTCAAGGACACAACTCTGTTCAGACATGAAATAGAGCATGAACTTACACTGCCTTGGAAACTTTCCCAAAAAGCACAATGGTTTTCGTTTCAGATCCGCGATGGCGAAAATGCGACCTTGCGGATCCCCGTTAAAAAAATTTGCTCCAGCCACAAAAAGAGGGTCCCTCAACTGTACAGACCTGAATATTCCATTCACGTACCTCTGGAGCTTTTGGTACACCACCCTTTGCATGTGCATAGGAGTTGAAGCTTAGAGGCTTCGATAAACCCCTCTATGGAATGCGCCACGTAGTCGTTTTCCATTAAACGGCAGCGCCCGCGTTCATTTGATGTTCCTACGCCCTCCTTAGATATCGTAGCTTTGTCGACAAGGGTGGAGGATGTACTAATTTCGCAGCTCAAAAATACGAGAGGATGGCGCCACCCGCTTGTGAAGAGGATGCCGCCCCGCCCCTGGCTGCCATAACTGCTTTGGCTTAGCCTTTGAAGGCTGAGCCCGCTTCCAAGAATAATGTGTCATGGACTCTTATAATATGATTCATATGTTATATGATCCAGTAGTGAAGAAAAAAGCAGAAAAAATCATGGAAAATGCCCTATATAGAACCCTATGCTGGCCAGGTGGGCGGGGCGGCCGACTCTTCACTAGCGAACGGCGCTATCCTCTCGCCTTTTTGAGATGCAAAACTAGTACATACTGCATCCTCATGGGAGGGCTATGATACCCAGAGAGGGCGCGGGAACATCAAATGAACGTGGGGCAAATTACGGACCCATGGAATGCAGAGCTAATAGCACCAAACAACTTTCTGGAGTAGTTAACAAATTCCTTGCCGTATTTCGAAAACGTCGCTTATATCACTGGATCAATTTGTTATGGAATTTAACGATGCTGGACGGTGCTTAGGACAGTACCGCGCTCCACGGTCAGCCACAAAAGCTTGCGCAGTGCTTACTCCGCTAATGTTGCTGGTGCTCTCTTCATTAATGACAAATCGCGCACGCACCCAGGGCACAAGTCGTTGTTGGGGAGTTCCCCAATACGAGCGGCAGGGGTTCGGCTTTTTGGGGAGCCTAGGTAGGGGGGGTTCGTCGTATTTGGGGCTGGGAAAAATTTATTTTGATAGTTTGATTTTCATCGCTTCACGAAAGAGGCAAAGGGCGCGTCGGGTAGGTCATTGTTGGGAAGGAGGGAGTGTATTTATCATTTTGGCGTTGTAGGGGTGTGGCCTGACTTTCTGGTGATTTTCCTGTTTATGCCACTATTACCCCCCACTTCCCCCCCCCTCATCCGCTCGACGGCTCGATTCGAGGAGGAGAACAGAGGGCTGGAAGGGGGGAGGGGGGTCGTACCAACCCCCCCCCACTAAAAAAGGGGTGTCGTACAGACTCGGCTAAAGAGCCCCCAACAATTGGTTGCCGTGATGCAACCCCTCCTATCGGCAGGTCAACAAAAGTCCCCACGCCGCAGATTCCGCGACGTACGTCCGACCGTGCTAGAGCTACGCCAGAAATCATATGGCATCATCAAGCATGTGAAATTATTAGGTTGTCCGGAAAGTTCTCAGCGTTTTGGGTGTTTCACTTTAAACGATCGTAACTTTTTAATACTCATCGGATTTAATCGAAATAGGCACCATTCGAATCAGCACACTTTTGCCAATGTGACAGCAGTCGAGAAATCCCATCAAAATGAAAAACTGGGTGGTCGGAAATTCACGAAATCCACTAAGGCTTTTTTGCCTGGTCCTGATTGATGAAGTATTTTCCAGCAAGGGAGTTCTGAAAATGTTAGAAAAGGTGATAGTCGGTTGGCGAAAGGTCTGAAGAATATGGCGGTTGAGGTAGAACTTCAACCCCCAATTCGTTCAATTTATGGATAGTGATTTGTGAAACGTGTGGGCGGGCGTTGTCATGCAAAGGAATCGGACCCTTTCTTTTGATAAGTGTTGGCTGCATCTGACAAAATTTTCGGTACAATTCGTCGATTTCTTCACAGTAGGGTTCTGCTGTGATGGTTTGGGTGATAAAAAGTTATAGTGGATCACACCAGCCGATGACCACCAAGCCGTGACCAGAATCTTTTTTTGTACCCGTGCAGGCTGTATCGGCTTTGAAAATTACCTCGGTGGTTCGTCGAAATCCAACCACTGTCCGGAACGTCTCCTGTTATCATACATGACCCATTTTTCATCACAGGTGACAATTCGGCCCAAAAACGTTTCTGCTGCGCAAAAGCAGGTGAAGAGGGGAAACTGCCAGATCGTGCCAATTTCTGCCGTCACTTCGACTTGCTGTGGGGCACCAATTGTCGAGTTTTTTCACCTTCCCAATGCGTTCCAGACCATCTGCAACAGTGGATTTGCCAACGCCTAGCTCTTCTGCTATCTCTCGAACTGTTTGGGATGGGTCAGCCTCCAAAATCCCCCTAAAATCCTCGTCAGATATTGCTTTAGGTCGACCGCTATGAGGTTCAGCTGAAATCTCCAGAACGAAATTTGTTGAGCCATTGCCGCACAGTGCTTTCTCTAGCACTATTGGGCCCCCACACCTGGTTAATTTGTTGAG